ATATTTGACTTCGCGCCCCTCCTGTTGCACTCCTCTGGAAGATTGGAAGCTGACTCGCGCCCCTTCCCCTTCACGCCCCCCCAAAGCTGACTCGCGCCCCTTCCCCTTCACACCCCCCCAAAAGCTGACTCACCTTCACGCCCCCCTCCCCCCCCAAAGCTGACTCACACCCCTTCCACTTCGCACGCTCAGTAAATTCCACGTTTAAACCCCTGTTGTCAATCCAATAAAAATGTTTCTGGGGTCGGCAGCTGGGATACTATCACCGGGTCTGTCTAATTCTAGTACGGCCCACATACACCTTTTGACCAGTTTGACATGGGAGTGTTTCAAACACATGGGAAATGGTTGGCTTCCTCGTGGTTTTCGCACAAACAAGCAAAGCCTCCGAAAAGACACAGCATTGGTTTTCGAGCTGCTGCCAAAGCCGAGGATATGAGCCTGCCCAACGCGCTGGCCACGAACCAGACGCCGCCCGCCGAACACGCCACAGTGGTGGAACTCGGGCCCGTGGTCACCGACGCCACCTCTGAGAGCAACGAGGAGACGAGGGAACGGTTGGTTGGGCAAAATGTGTGGAAGAGCAGACGTGGCGCCCTGGTGCTTGCTAAGGGCAACCCGAACGGAGGTTGATTAAACAGTTGCGTGGCTTGATTCTTCAAGGAAGTGAATTGCGTAACCTAGAAGGGCTGAAATGGAGGGCGCGTTCGAGGCTCGGGCTCCTTTTTTGACGCTATTTGGTTGCCACAGTGGCCCGGCTTCACACTTGGATTTGTTGTCAAAAGACGAGCGTGTGTACCGTCGAAACCTACATCCAACGCGGCCTTGCGGTTGTTGCCCGCTTATTCAATATGACTTTCCTTTTTAAGGTTGGGTCGACGTGCCAATTGAAAGGTCTTGAAATGGTCAATCCATCAATCCCAACGATTCCACCGGGTTGAACGGAGCCATCAAAACGGCCTTTGGCGGTGTGCGAACGCTCGGAATGTCTCCAAAACTTGCTACTATTGGAATTCTATTGGATAGGCTATCCAAGACTATCCAAAAAGGCCATCGGGGGGAGTCTTAAATAGATCCAAAAAACGGCGAGCTTTCCTGGAGGTGTGTTTTTTAAGCACCCCAAAAGGGTCCCCCAAAAAAGACATATTATAAAAAACCCTCAAAACAATCTCAGCTAAAGGACCCAAAAGTTTCGGTGGCCTTTTAGACCTTTTGGAATAAGCACATAAGGGTACCAGGTACCGAGCCAACAAACACCCGCCCAATTTTCTTGCCAGGTTCACTTCTCTGGCGAGAGCAGCGGAGAGAGGAAGGCCAAGGAGATGACCAACCAGGCGCCGGGAGGTGAGAGAGAGAGTCATGCGACGGGTGGGGTGCGTATTGAAGGCTTGGGGGACGGCGTTGAAGCTATAGTTGTCGGGTCTCCAAAAATATGTCTACTTTAGAGTAGGCTAAGTACGAAGCAGAATCTTAACTCTGAACATTTGTCTTTTTGGCTTGTGAACCATGAATTAGCGCGTTGGACTGCCAATTGTATCTCCACATGTGTGATCTTTTCCAACCTGTTGGTTGGGTATGCTTGCTGATTGTTGCTCGCTGCAAACTTGTACTCTTTTGTAGAACGACTGGCTCTCCACCAGCCAGCAAGCAGCTCAGCTTTTGCAGGGGCACAGGGCTAAGAAGTCGTTCACAGAACAGAAGGTTCACTTTGCGTTTGGGACAGGGGTCCCTATCCCCATGTTGATGGCTTTGACCACCGTTTGGGCCAGTTCGAATTGAGTTCCTTTGTGGTGAAACAACTAACTTTCCGACTTTCGGGCTTGGTACTTTTGGGTTTTGGCCATTTAAGTGGTAAACCACAGAAACAGCGGCCTTTCGGCCACTCCACTCAAGTGAGGACAATGGCTATGAAGGTCAAGGGTTGGACCACTCCAGAGAGGCTGACATGAATCCCCCCTATGTTCACTGAAATTCCCCTAAGATCACCATGGAAGTTTCTTAAAATAGTGGACTTTGGTTGGCATTGAAAAGGACACCGGAAGAAAATCATTTCCAATTTAGGAAATGGACCGATTCAAACCCGTTTATTGATGGGTGTTCCCCTGCAAAAGCAAAAAGCCCTCACCAAAGGGGACAGCCCCTATCCACCAACCAGGGGGGGCGTTCATCATCCGGGGTTGCACCTGGAAAAGTTGGTCTCGAATGAGAGGAGCTGTGGAACAACCTCGCGGCCACGTTGCCTGAGGGGCCTCCGGGCACCGATGCCTTCTGCGTGCCGGGCATCGCTTCGGACCTCATGTGAGAAATCCCACGGCTGCGATATACGAAGGGTAGGATCATGTAAGGGACACTCCCCACCAATGGCCGCTGGTGGCTTTTGGTGGACCAGTTTAGTGCCATTGATTACGACTGATGCGTAGAACCGCTGGCCGGAGTGATCCCAAGCCTGGTTCCGGACGGCGCGCCAGATTGGCGCCAATCGGTGAGGATTGCATCAGAGTTGAACTATTACTATTAGAACCTGTCTTGTCTGACTTAAGCCTTTGTCTGTGTCGTTTTGGTTGCGCCTTGTCGGATTTGAAGCTTGCCCTGAAAGATTTGTTCTTTCCTGGAGACCAGCCGCCTCCAGGGGTTTCAACAGCGGCGTAAAAAGCGACACGCGCAATGGGGGCCCTGGATCACATCAGGTCCGAGAAAGTTGCCGGCGGAGTGACTCCGAGCCTTCAAGACAACTTGCAAAGTTTGGAGTCTAGATTTGCTTGGCGCATTTGGGCAATGTAAGTTAAGGTTTGGAACAAACATGCTGGGGTAGGAAGTTGATATGGCTCCTCTGGCATCCTTTGGCCTTCCCTTTCCCGGTTAGATTTCTACGCATGTGAGGAGTGGTGATCTGCGGGTCGATCCCAATCTCGGGATTCAGGATTTGAATCCCATCTCCGCATTCGGGTTTCGGGATTCGGGACTAGAATCCTATATTCGGGAATCAATCACATTCTCGGGATTCGGGATTCGGGATTATGATTTTTACCCAAACAGTTTACTGTGAGGGGTTCTAAATTCATTTAAAGTGACTCGCCTGTTTCCAAGCCATAGCCTGGATGCCTGGCACAGCTCTCTGGGTGGACGGGTTCATTTGTCTCCCTTTGTCTCCCTTGATTTGTCTCTTGTGGGTGCCTGGCACGGCTCTCTGGGTGGACGGGTTCACTTGTCTCTTGCGCTGTGTCCCAGTATTCATTTGTCTTCCTTTGTCTCCCTTCATTTGTCTCCCGTTGTCTCCCAGCCTGGATGCCTCCCTTTGTAGCCTGGATGCCTGGCACAGTGTGGGTGGACGGGTTCATGTGTCTCCCTTCATTTGTCTCCCGTTGTCTCGCAGTTCCTGGATGTCTGGCACGGCTCTCCGGACAGGTTGATTTGTCTCCCTTCATTTGTCGCTTGTTGTCTCCGAGCCTGGATGCCTGGCACGGCTTTGTGAGTGGACGGATTCATTTGTCTTTTTGTCTCCCTTTATTTGGCCCATTTGTTTCCCACTGTCTCTCAGCTTGGACGGGTTCATTTGTCTCCCTTTACTTTGTCTCCTTCTTGTTGTCTCCCAGCCTGGATGCCTGGCACGGCTCCCTTTATCTGTCCCCGCTTGTCACGGAATATGCTGTGTATTCCGCGGGCAGGCGTGTGTGTTTGAGGCTCAGAAGCAGCAACAGCAGGCTCGCGCGCTAGCAACGTGTTGCACAATTGCTAGATTGAAGTCACACGCACACTTTTTTCCTACTTGGAACATGCATATAAAACACAACTCACAGCCGGCTTTGGAAACTTGTTTTATGTGTTGCACAGGCGTGCAGAGAATGTAAACTCCATGTGAACACATGTTTGTTGTCCAGGTGAACGCATGTGTGCTGCACATTTATGTTGCACATGTTTCTCCACATGTGCACACACGTGTGTCCCATGTCATGTGTACACATATGTGTGTTACAAGTCGGCGCAGAAGTTTGTTCTGGTTAAACATGTTTGTGTGATCCAGTGTTGCGCGTGAACACAAATGCCTGTTCCAAGTGAGCAAATGTGGTTGCAGGTCAACAGAAATGTTTCCAGGTGTACGCATGTGTGTGTGTTCCAGGAACACATGTTTGTTATCAGACGAACACGTTTGTGTGTGTGTGCGTGTTCCGGGTGTGCATATATATGTATATATATATATGTGTGTGTGTGTGTTTGCGTGTACAGATGTGTGTTCCATCCACGTGTGCACATATGTGTGTTCACGTGTACACATATGCGTGTTCCACGTGTACACATTTGTGTGTTCAAATGTGCGCACATGTGCATTCCAACTGGACATGTGTATGTGATTCAGGAGAACACATGGCTGTTATCAGACGAACACGCGCGTGTGTGTGTGTGTGTGTTCCGGGTGTGCATATATGTGTGTGTTTGCGTGTACACATATGTGTGTTCCACGTGCACACCTCCTGTGTGTTCACGTGTACACAAATGCGTGCTCCACGTGTACACACTTGTGTGTTCACGTGTGCGCACATGTGCGTTCCAACTGGACACGTGTATGTGTTTCGGGAGAACACATGCTTGTTATCAGATGAACACGTGTCTGCTCCGCATGCACATGCATGTGTGTTCACGTGTGCGCACATGTGTGTCCCACGTGTACACATTTGTGTGTGCGCAAACATGTGCGTTTCAACTGGACACGTGTTTGTGTTCCAGGAGAACACGTGTATGTTATCAGATGACCGCGTGTGTGTGTGTGTGTGTATAGGTCTGCTCCGCGTGCACATGTATGTGTTCATTTGTACACATATGTGTGTTCCACGTGTGCGCACTTGTGTGTTCACGTGTGCACACATGTGTGTTTCCAATTGGACACGTGGTGAGTACATGTTTGTTATCAGATGAACGCACGTGAGTGTGTGTTCCGGGTGCACATATATATTTGTGTCTTCACGTGTACACATATGTGTGTCCACGTGTACGCAGACGTGCGTTCACGTGTACACACTTCTGTGTTCCAACTAGACACGTGTTTGTGTTCCAGGAGAACACGTCCTTGTTATCAGATGAATTCTCGTGTGTGTCTGTGTTTCTGCGTGCGCATAAATGTGTGTGTTCACGTGTGCAGTACACATGTGTGTGTTCCCTTGTCCACATGTGTGTGTTCACGTGTGCGCATGTGTGTCTCCCACGTGTACACATATATGTGTGTTCACGTGTACACACATGTGTGTTCTTATCAGGCACGTGTATGTGTTCCAGGTGAACACATGTTTGATTTCAGGTGAACACTCGTGTGTGTATTCCACGCGTACAAATATGTGTGTTCACGTGTGCACACATGTGTGTTCCAATTGCACACGTCTTTTCTTTCACGTGTGCACATATGTGTGTTCACGTGTACACATATGTGTGCTCCATGTGTATGCACATGTGTGTTCCACTTGGACAGGTGTTTGTGTTCCAGGTGGACAGATGTGTGTTCCACGTGAACACATTACTATGTGCTAGGTGAACATTTTTTGCATCTGACGGCGTATTTGCTCTCCAGGTGTGCACATGTATGTGCTCCAGAAAACGCATGGTTGTTTTCGAGGTGCGCACATGTGTGTGTGCTTTAGATGAGTATTTATGTTTGCTCACGCGTGCACATATGTGTGTTCCACGTGTGCACACATGTGTGCTTTAATCGCACATGCGGTTTTCCTGGACACATAGTTGTGTTCCAGTGGCATACAAAGGTGTGTCCCACATGTGCACACATGTGTGCTTCAATTGCACGTGTTTGTCTTCCAGGTGAAGACATGTGTGTTCCACGTGTACGCACATGTGTGTCTGATTTGGACACGCGTTTCATTGTGTTCCACGTGAACACATGTGTGTTCCACGTGAACACATTCGCGTGTCGTAGGTGAACACATATGTGTGTTCCAGGTGCACACGGGTGCACATCTGCGCGTGCCGCGTGTACTGTTTCAGTCGTACACATATGTGTGTTCCACATGTGCGCCCACATGTGTGTCTGAATTGGACATGTGTGTCTGAACTGCCCATGTGACCGCGCGCTTGCGCAGCCACACTTGCGTTCACGCGCGCGCGCTCGCCCGCTATCGCACGCGCTTGCCCAACCTCAGTTCCTGCGCGGTGCTGAAGCGCGAAGCACGCCAGCAACACACGTGCAGCAACGCGACGCGTGCCGCGTTTACGACTGCATCATTTTGATTCATCCGTGTTGAAGCGCAGAAAGCCACAAGCTGTTGGCATATTTGTTTGCCCGTCAGTCAACTGTTTGGCTCTGCTGGTGTAATGTGATTCAGGATTCAGGACTGGGACGGCCCCATCCTCGGATTCGGGATTCGGCCTAGGGTTGGTTGAGGGCTGGTTTAGGGTTAGTTTAGGGCTCTGATGTAGGGTTGGTCTAGGGTTGGTTTACCAACCTGATCCAACCCTAAATCAGCCCTAAGCCTCTACACCAACCCCTGAACCAACCCCAGCCAAGCCTAAACCAACCCTATAGCCAACCCTAAGCCATGCCTAAGCTAACCCTACACCAGCCCAACCCTAATCCAACCTCTAAACAAACCCTAAACCAACAACCCTAAAAGGCCCCAGCCTTTGGTCCGACTTCAGGGCTTGGGATTCGGGATTCGGGATGCGGGAAGGCCCAGCCTCTGGTCCGGCTTCGGGATTCGGGATTCGGGATTGGCCTCGAGCGCTGGACCGAGCCACGTGAAGTGCCGGAATTGGTTCGGGGCCTTTTCTCGCAGTTGGGGTTCATGAAGCTCAAGGTTTTGAACAAATCAAAGTGAGTCTGCGGAAGAATGAAGAGTGATGTTTAAGGGGGAAAATGAGAGGAAACTGGAGGCTCGACTTTGAAGGGTCAATGCCCTGGGCGCGTTGTGTGTCGATGTCAAGGCTCAACTGGCAACTGAGTGTCGAGGCTCGGGTCCCTTTTCAGCTCCCTTTTGTTTGCTGTCTATGCTGCCCTTTCCACTTTTGCGAAAGGCCCAGGCTGCGCCCAAACAGCCCGGCGCAATGCAATTCTAGGTTTGCGACCAGGCTGAAACCGGCAAAACACCTGGGCCTGGTGCCTTTTCAAGCGAGATTGACGGGAGGTTTTTCAAACAAGGGCTCGGAGACGTTTGAAAGGACATCAAAAAAACATCCCATTTTAATGGGTTCACGAATTTTAAGACAAACCCAAATAGTGTCCCTTGCTTTACACATGTTTTATGGGCCTCGTTCAGGTTCATGTGTGTTTGGAAACCTGGAACAGGGTCAAAATGTGTCCCCTTGAACACCTCTTCCGCGTATCGAGGTCGCCTGTCGCCTCGAGTTGGCACAACGAAAAGGGCACCCTCAGGCAACATATATCAGTTGTGCTCAATATAGAATTGACCACAAATATCTAACTGAAGTGTTTCTGTCATGATATGTCATACGACTAGAGATTGACACGGTTCTCCTTGAACGCTGCTTTGGGCGCAATCGTGC